GGGCTGCCAAGCACTGGAAGGGGCTGCCCAGGGAAGGGGTCGAGTCCCCACCCTTGGGGGTATTTAAAAGCCAGGCAGGCGAGGTGCTTAGGGCCAGGGTTTAGTGGTGGGATGGCAGGGTTAGGGGAACGGCTGGGCTTGGGGATCTTAAAGGGCTTTTCCAACCCAAACGATTCTGTGATTCAGGTCACTGAAGCCAGAGTGAGCCATCTGTGGGCTTGGAGAACCAGCAAGGGAACCTGCAGAGGCGCAGGAAGGGCTTCTGGGTGGCTTTTTGGGGGGATGGGGGGGGTGGTGGTGGAGGTGTTGCCCGCTACTGTAGGCAAACGCACTGAAGATCAGTGGCTACAAGGACTAATGAGGCTTCTGCAAATCCAGGGCTGAGACCCCCTCCCATTTGTGTCGTGGGTGGGTGTTTCCTCCCCCAGGAATGTCCGAGGTACCACTCCAGTGGGGTCTCCACCTCCTGGACGAAAACCCCCAGCTGGAAAGTGGGCTGATGTGGGACCCACACCACTGTGGGATCTCGACAAGCCACCTTGAACTCTGTTGCCACTTGACCCTCATCCACGAGCCCTGCGCTCAGCTGCCAAAATGGTGAGGAGCAGCGTGGGCAGTGTCCCCCTCTGGAGACACCTTCATCCCGCCCATGAGGACACGCACAGAGCAGTCTCTGGTGCTGACTGGGTGAAGTAGGCATCCATGATCCTCTGTGTGGCCAGAGCTATTAGCAAGGAAATTGCTTCCAGAGGTGAGGATGAGGACGGCAGGGATGAAGGATGGGTCCTGTTGCAGGAAAGGAGCCTCCCTGCCTGGATGCTGGGGGGCGAGGTGCCTCCCAGAAGGACCCCCCTTCGCTCTCACATTGCTGGAGCAGCGGCAGAGTTGCTGGTGGGGCTGGAGGAGCTCGGGGGCAGCGGGTCAGGATTGCTGCTGGTGGGCTCAGCCCCGCTTCGCTGCCCTCCACTGCCAAGAGCAGAGCCCACCTTGGTCCCGAGCTCCCCACGAGCCCTGGTCACTGCCGTTCCTGCTGCCAGCTCTCCCGGGGGCCACTGGTGCTGGGGATGGCGGCGGGCTGCTCCGGCACTGCCATGACAACGGCAGGTCCCGGGCTTCCTGCTCCCGCCATCTGGTTGCAGACGGCTCTGCCAGGCAGTCGATCCAAGCTGAAATTTTCCACGCCTGCGGTCAGGTTGTGTTTCCAAAAGGCTTTCGCCAGGCGGGGTGGAGAGCGGCAGCGTGGTCAGGCATGGTTAATTGGTGGCACAGGGTATCTTAAGGGAATGAAGCGCCCAGGATAGCTCATGATCAGGGAGCATGTGGTCAGCACAATTTCAGTGGAGGAAGCCTTGCTCAGCCCCCCCGAAGCATCACTGGGCGGCACGGCGCTGAGGGCACGCAGATACGTTTCCAAGCAAGGGCCTTTGTGTCACTGGAGGGTGACGCCTTCCTACGGCGCTGGCTGGGCCCGTGCTGCTGCGGTGCTGTTACTGCCGGTGACGGCTGGGCTGGGCTCGGACCTGGACAGCACGACCCCGGGGGAGCTGGGAGTGCTGCGGAGCATCCCTGGATTTCGGCTGCCCCAGCTCCTTGGTTCAACCTCCTGCACAGCCCTGGGGCTCGGTGCCCCAGGGACCTGAGGGTGGGGACCCCTTTGTGGCAGCTC